TAATTAAAAGACATTCCTAACAGGAGTCATTAAAGACCCATCACCAACAAGAAGCAGCTAAAAGAAAAAAACATGGATTTTCCCAAAATAATCAAATTATAGCCCATGGATGCTCCTCCTGGAAATGGCCCTGAGAGCAAAAAAGCTGGAAATCCTTTCAATGATTCTTTGGGATAATGTTGGAGCTGGGAGCAGATGAGACAGACGCGATCCAGGGAAAGCAAAGGCACTGGATAACATTTATGAGGATTCAGGAATTCACAGAATATGGGGGGGAGGGTTTATTTTTTGGGATTTCAATTTTTGGGATTTATTTTTATTATTCTGAACCAGTCCCAAATCTCCTCCCAGCCTTTGGGATAAAATCCTGGGTGTAAGAACAGGAACACTCCTGTGCCTCACTCCCATCCCACAGCAGGAATTGCTCCCAGAGTTTTCCTGACAAGAGAAATTCCCAAATCCCACGGGAAAAAGGCAGCTCTGGAGCTGGAGGAACCTCCCTGATCCTTCAGCTCTCCTGGCCCTCCATTTCCCATGGATTTGTTCCCTCAGCTGGGATTTGATGTCCCTGATAAAGTCTCACATAATATTCCCGGATTTTCAGTTGGCTTTCCTTCCAGAGGCTCTAATTAATCCCAATAAACAGCACCAGGTGATTCCCTGAATTTCCCACGGCAGTATCCCAATTTATTCCCTACCCCTGACCCCATTAATTCACTGGTTTAGGGTGGAAGGGCACATTTGGAATGGTTTAACAGTGCCTGGCACTCCAGGGATCTCCTGCAGAACATGGAAAACCACAGAAAAGAATTCCTGTTCCTTGGAACACCCCAGGAGGAATTTTAGGATTTAAAGCAGCCAAAAATGTGGGAATCTCCTCACTGGAAGCATCCAGGCTCAGGAGGGGAACTGAACCCTTTGATTTTCCTGCAAAGGGAACAATTAAAGTTCAGAGGAATGGCCTGGGAAAGCTTTCAAATTCCCAGCTGGTGCTCCCTGGAAAAATCTGTTCCCTAAAAACTTAATTTTTTTCCCTAAAATTTTTTAACATAAATTCATATCAAGTTTCCACTGGGCACCTCGTTTCTTCCATGAAGGAATGACTAAATTATATGGAATTTTGGAAGGATAAAACCCTCAATATTAAAATATTCCACGCAGCAAAAAAATCCCAAAACACCCCAACGAGGTTCCCCCAAAATTTCAAAAATTCCATCTTTTAATTATTTATTAAACAATGACAAATCATGACTTGCAGGCCAGCTAAAGCAGGAGCTCCCTGAAGGAATGACAGCACAAATGGGGGTTATTTTTTTGGTGGGGGAAAAGAAAAGGAAGGAAAAGAGGAATTACCCTAAAGGACATTTCAAGATTCTCGCCACCCCAGATATCCATTCCTGCATCGTAAGTTCCTATCTCTTCAAAGTAGCTCCTGTCAATAGAAAACAGGCCACCAGCCATAGTTGGGGTCCTGGGTGGGAAACAAACAGGAAAAAAA